GTTTTTGAGAAACTCGTCAGTCACACTAGAGGAAGCTTGGATTCTTCATGTACTTCGTAATAATAAATTGATGATATTTTCAAAACGACGATTTAGCATTTTATCTCCAATACAAGGTTGTCTTTCGGAAATCGTCAACTGGTAATATATTCAAACATCCGCATCTGAAGATGGCTCAAGGATGATTGAAAAAAAACACTTTTAGTAAACAACAAAAAAGAAGCTACAGCTTCTCTTGACTGAACTATAGCAAGGAAGGGTTGCCCTTTCGACCACCCTTAAAATTCGCGGTGCGGTTTTCAAGAGACTAGGTTCTTTTGTTGGGGCGGGCGTATTCATCGGATCCGCTGGACTGGGGCTGGGGGATGGGGGAAGAGACTTTTTGGTTAATTTAGTGAGCTTTGTATTTCACCGGACACCGGTCACGGTGCGCCTTTTTAAAATTCAGGACGCGCTCGTACAACCGGTCAATTCCATTGCTTTATGCCACAGAGGTTCTGGAAAGATTTAGAGGTGGAGACGGTGTGGGGACTGATACATATACGGGATGTTTCCTGGAGCTAGTCACGAAAGGGGGTAGCCGGAATTCCTGTTTTGAAGACCATAAAAATGATCCAATAAGGAAATCTTTTGCGGAGCAAAAACTGACAATAGGCTCCTGTTTAAGCTTTAGAAGGGTAGGGTTCCTCTAAAACAGGCAGTAGTAGTAGTAGTAGTAGTAGTAGTAGGACACCAACTGAACAAGTGTATTGATGTTAGTAGAGATCATGTAGAAAAATAAAAGTATAAAATAAATGTAGCTTCTCTACAACTAAGGGATGGAGAGATGCATAAGTCGGGTATAAATACCTTGAACCTGACAGCTTGACATGCAGTATAGTTTCCAGCACCAGCGGACCACGGGGGACCGATAGCTTACGTCTCGCAGCTATGGAGTAAACTCATCTAGTCTTATAGAGAGGCTCATGTCTTATGCAAACTTCCATCGTATGGCCTCTCAGAGAAGCTTCCTCTCTTCGTCCCACAATGTCAACGCGGGTGTTACTTCCTGCCTCACTCTTGACTCCGACATTGTTCCTCTTCCTGTCATCGACCTTTCCTGTACAACCGATCCGATCCACAGCTTTGCTGATGGCAGCATTTTACATGCATAAATTCAGAATAACAAGTCGATCTCTGCTCGTGAGCTGAAGGCTAGCAGTGATTTCCTCTCTGACGAGAGACCTGGAGACACAATAATCTGGTACATTTTACTGCTTCAAGAACAGAGTACTGTACCTTGACTAACAAGAAACGCCAGAGCGCACATCCAGTTTGGATGGATGACCGAGTTCTACCGTTCGTTTCGGCTGGTGCGAGAAATTGACATTTCGTTTCTTTTTTTGACATATAGGTTTTTTGTGAGATTATGAGCTGTCAACTTAGAACTAGATGTTGTTCACTCCTTCTGTAGCTGTACGTGTTGCCTAAACATCATGACGCTTCAGCTATCAATGTTTAGCTCTGATGTGATGTAACATCTGCTTCAGAAATCACATTATTGGAGGTATAAGCTGTACGTTGTATACTATAGCTGGGAGAAAACGGCAGTGCATAGGTGCATAGTGAGGATTTGTGTCCTAATAATCTGTGTTCATGATAATTGCCTTAGTTTTTTGTCTCAAATACACTTACATATGCAGATTTCCTGAGTTTAAAAAATGAGAGAGATAAAAAAAGAAAACCCGGGCTGGTGGAGTATATTACAACAAAAAATTTTCATTATTTGAATTTCACAAAAATTTATTTTGCGTTGTCAGGAAGAAAATACAAATCAGCGCCTAGATGTGAGGCACTGCAAAAATGTTTTGTGTGTAGCGTCATTCCTATTTTTTCGGTGTTGTGGCTCAATTACTCACAACGCGGGCGCGGTGGTGATTTCCTGTAATGTTTCTCAAAGTTTGTGAAAACGCAAAAAGCGGGGAAAAATTCTAATTTATAACTTTGAACATAACCTTTCTTCAGAAAGTGTCATTGAGTCATCCATCCATAGATGACGCTTTTGGTGACGCTCATAGCGCTAATAGCGAGCAAACTCGGAATGAACTATTTCCATAATAGGTACTACCTAGTCAGCAAGTTGACATTTTGTCGTTTTTTCTCATTACGTAGGTGTTTTACGTAATAACCCTGCAGGTCACAAAATACTTGACACGAACACATCTATAGTCAACGCCAAACAAAGTGGCGTGCACGTCATCAAGGTGGGTGTGTTGAAAAATTTACATTGTTGCCAAACTTTTTGTAAAATAATAAAATTTATTATTTACATATCTAGGTTTATAAGCAATATTAACCTCAAATGAGAACAAAAATAATAGTATAATAAAATTATAGATCTGTACTTGCATAATCATTAAGTATGACAATTATTGATCAGATGACACTATGAAACTACCATATTTAATTGATAGCTTAAAGGTACTGAATAAAAATCCAAATGGGGTCCTCCAAATTTTATGCATGGTATTTATTTTACAGAATTCATACAGAAAAATGCATTCTAAAATTAGGTAAGCTACTGGTGTAAGCTTTTTCTGTACAATAAAGTTAGTCGGAGTTTCTTTCTTCAGCGCTGTCTGAATCTGAATCTTCATCACTCTCAAAGTTGATTATTAAAGGTTCGATGTCTGGTCGATCAAAAATTCGTTCTCTTTCATACCATTTAAAAATTTCTTGCTCAGTATGTCGAACACTATTTTTCCACATGTCTGGGGTAACCGTTTGTAGAGCCTCGTTCCACATATCCAAACAGTCTTTTTCACTGTTACCATCTCTACCAATATGTCTGTTATAGTAACCTTTTGCTATGCCCCAAATTAACTCAATAGGGTTAAATATACAATGGTAAGGAGGCAGACGAAGAACTTTGTGCCCATGTTGTTCCGCCAATTCATCAATCACGTATATTTTAGGTGGTTTGTTTCTAAAAAAGCAGTTATTTTAAGAATAGGAATAAACAAAAGAAATATAAACTGTCGACCAAAATATATATAATTAAGAAGCATTATGTACCGAGCAACAATACTCAATAGCTCTGTTTTAAACATTGTGTTTAAAAATGGTATGTTTTGATTTGTCAACCAGTCTTGGATATTTTTTTTTTGTCCATGCATTGTTGGGCACTTTGTTCAATATCATGCTGTGATAAGGGGCGTTATCCAGTATAATCATAGATGGACTCTCCAATTTTTCTAATAACTGATGTTGAAACCATTTCAAAAAATTGTCCTGGTTCATCTCTCCATGGTAATCGCTCAATTTTGTTTTCGAAGAAAATATCGCTTCACTACCCTCAATAAACCCATTTTCATTTCCAGCATGTAATATAATGTATCTAAAATATATTAGTTTTAAATTTTATAGTGCAAATTGTGTAAAAGTACATACCTTTTACCATCTGTTTTAATAGCTTTCACGCTTTTTTGGTTTCCATTTTGCCAAGAGCGACCTATGGTCCCATTTTGAAATATCCAAGTTTCATCGAGGAAGACAAACTGGTATAAGGCCTCAACCTTGGCTTGATTGTATTGCCTTAGAAATTCCACCCTTTTCAAAGCTATACTTGGTAGTTCCATGAGCCCTCGTCGCGGATTGTCCTTAAGCCACTTAAATCCAAGATCTCTAAGCAACCGCCTTAAAGACGTGGCACTACCATCAAATAATGCCCTATCTCTTAATCGAGACCATAAAGTTTGTATCGTAACTTGTTCTTCTGAAACCATGTGTAATATGACATTATAATTTAGTTAACAAATTAATGCAAATTTCTGATAAGTTATTATAATAAGATCTTACTTTTGTGATACATATTATAGATCACTTCTCGAATGGCACTTGTATCCAATGTCGCTGTGTTGGTTACACGTTTAATATAACTCCGCTTTTTCTTGGGCGATTCTAAATTTGCATCACTTTTCACACCCTCAGAAATACGACTAACTGTCCTTAAACTAATTTTTAAAGCAGCAGCAACACGCTACAAAAAATGAAATAAAATTTCACTATTATTAATATACATTACATATAATTATTAGTAACCTACCTCTTGAACAGCATTTAAAGGCAACAAAGGCCCGTTGTTGTCCTTTCTTGCTCAAAGTAGTGCATTAACGAGGCCACGAGTTCCTTACACCGACTATTTAACTGTTTGGGCATCTTTATATACCAAAATTGCCTTTATCTACTCGTAAAATGAATAATTTTGTGTTGAAACAAACAGTTGTTGATTTACAGTATGCGGGGCCAAAGGATTTATAAAGATTTGAAATGCCACAAATTGATTCAGTGTCAAAATTAATACAAATGTCAGTTCCCAGTTTAAATAAGTTTCAAGGTGACAATGTGTCAACGCTGCGAAATCGGTTTAGTGCGTTTACATGTCGATAAGTGATTGGAGCGTTTGCAAAACATTTTATTTCGCATAATGCGTCTAAATTTATCAGAAAGCAACTTATGTGATATTTTAATAACAATGTTTATATGACTATTAACCATAATAAGAGAGTAATGACCATTTTACAATTTATATATCACATTAATATGAAACTGCAATAGAGCAATTGTTTGTGATAGAAACCTAGGCATTAGGTCGGGGAATTTTTGTCGTGATGACGTGCACGCCACTTTGTTTGGCGTTGACTATAGTCAATAGCCGCAGCTGCTGGGAAAAAGCTAGGTTATTTGTTTAGTGCTAAGAAATACGTTCCTCCACATAATCTCCTCACTCTGTACAAGGCCCAGATAAGACCTATCCTAGATTACTTCTTACAGGTTTGGGGTGCTGCCGCCCCGATTGCATTGTCCTTGCTTGATGCTGCTTAGAGGAGGGCTGTCGAACTTACCGATGACTCTTCTCTAACGGGCAGTGTCGGGACCCTTTCGCACGGACTGGCCGGAGCCGTCGGCGAGCTAGCTCTCTTCATCGGCTATGCATAACTTACGCCTCCCATCCTAACCGTGTCGAACTCCTACATGCGGAGCTGGAAGATACGACCGCTGCTTTGTCCTATGGTATTGAGATTGTGGAGCATTCTACCTGAGGCGGCGTTCCGTAGTTCTATTTACCTTAGGTAGTTCAAAAATCGGATAACAGTTTCTTGAAGCCCCTAATAGCTGCCACGGTGCCCTGATATTTCTTCTTCCTACGCTGTTACTTCGTAAAAAAAAAGTGGGTCAGGGCACAGCACGGGATCACACTGTCTTATTCGGACATCCCAATGTAGGCCCATTCGTACCAAAAATGGAACGGAATCTTGCTTAATTCCCTTCGTATTTTATAAATAAGGAAAAAATAGAAATCGTTTAAACTTCATTTCCTGATCTTCAGATATTCCTGATCATTTTCGGAAAAATTATTAGGACGACAAAGCTTAGGAAGTAGGAAGATGCAGGGAGTAGGGGGTTGTAAATGTTGAATTGTCGTATTTCACAAGAATCTACTATCTTTTTTCTTTCGTTACAGGACCTACAGCTTAGATGAACGCCTTCTAGCATGCAGTGATACAGTAGAAGTTCGACAAGTCAGATTCCATCCGGGCAGCGTAGACCAAAATCATATCCTTGTGTTGACCTCAGACAATATGTTAAGGTGAGGGAAAAAATAAAAGTTTAAGATCGGCAACAGTTACTACGAGTATACTATATAATAAATACTACAAGAGCAAATGATATTATTCTAGGATATAAAACTTTTTAATGCAGCCTTGTTATTGATATCTTAGTTTTAGTCTGTGCATTTGAACCACTCTATTGAGACAAGCAGTGCACGAGTAAATCTTAACGTTTTCGTTATATTTGATGATTTTCAGACTCTACCAAATAGAGAAGATGGAGGCATTTGGTATTGTATGCTCAGTATTCCCAGTTGGTGAGAAACCTTCAAGCTTTTTCCCTGGAAGCAAGACCCCTTTCTTAGATATCTACGGAGAACTAGCAGTAGATTTCGATTTCGGACACCCGGAGATATCTGAAAATCTACAACAGCCTGAGGAAGAAGAAAGAATTGTCTTCCAGTCCAGTCCAGTAAAAAGTGAATGTAAGTTGATTGTAGGATGAAGATTTTTATGTTATTTTATGTTCGCTTGTCTGAAAATTCACATGTTTATAATTTAAAGTTGTTAAATCGCTTTTCCCTTTACATTCACTCAAAAGATATACAGGCTGATAACTCGCATGCAATAAATTTTGTTTGGTTTGCAGTATGGGTCACATATTCATAATTCATCTATTCAATAAAATGTGCTATTTAAAAAATACGATGGTATAAAAAGTAGTCGTTTATCGTTACAGTTCATTGTAATGAAGCACTTTGCCAATTTAGTAGCTGTAGTTTTTCGTAACATCCGAACAAAAATTTAATTTTTCCATAAATAACGGTCTTATTTTCAGCCAAATACTTCATAAATGCGAAAACCCAAACTATAGACAGAATAATTGCAAAGAGTTTTCCGGAGAGGAAGAAAGTAAAGGAAGGATGGGAGATCTTACAATGGCCAATCTACATCTTACGAGGAGATATGACCGTTTATTATATGTACATCAACTTGAATAGCAGGTAGGTATTCCACAATATAACTCCCGGTTTTAAAATATGTATTTTCTCTTTACTATTTGTAAGTTTGCTGTACCTTCTAAAGAACGTTTAGAATAGGCGTTTATCCAAACTATTCTAGTACTATTGTATAACGTATCCGTGAATTCAAGTGCTGCATATTTTGTGAGAAAAAATCCAGATTGATGACTCTGGTTTGAAAGACTACGAAGGTTGTAAGCAAGATAGCATTATTTCTGATTTATAGAATCCCCAAGTAGATCAAATATCGCTAAGTAGCTTGACCATTGATTTGATCTTGTCCAGGATACTCCTGAAGAAAGCCAACCTGTATTCGGGCGGTCGAAAAATTAACCGATATGAAATGGGGTAACGTAGCTTCATCTACGAGAATTTGCCACAGCTACAATTATTATATATCTACTTTAAAAAGGTTATTGTCTCATATACGAGCATATAGCTACAGCGCCACGGATGAGACACTAACCTTTTTAAAGTAGATTTGCGGAGAGGAGAAACATAGGTGTGATCTACGAATTCAAAATCTCAGCAATGTAGTCAGGATGAGTGTGCACTGCGCATACTACAAGTGAACTTGACGTAAATTTATTTTTTTACTGTCTTTAAATTCGTGTTATTGTTTCGTGCATGGTACGTCTTGCATGATTTGCAAACAATACTAATGAAGATAGATCTTAATATTATATTGTGTTGATCCAATGTTGTCACTTTGGTTGGCAATGGTAGTCAAAAGAGCCAAAGGTATGCACTAAAACTGCGCAATTTTGGTAACAAACAATGCTGTGCTGCTAATCTATTCGAATTCATTCGCTGTGACAAAATCTCATATATGACGTTACGGTATCTCATTTCATCTCGGATAGTTTTTCGGACGCGCAAATTTAATATTAGATTGATTATATTCAGATAGAATAAGTTGATTAATGTGTGATCTAACAAAAAATTATTTTTCAGATCATTGGCGCCACTAAAGGGGCCAATTCCATTATCTTTATTCGAAGCTAAAGAAAACGAAGCATGTTCATTAATTTGCCTCAATACGAATCCTCAAATCATTTGCATAGCTTTGTCCAGCGGTACGATCTGCCATGGTGTGATTTTGAAAATTGATGAAGAACTTCAAGAACAGGTTAGTCAAACGACCTCACTGAATACAGTTCACCTTTGTAATTGTTGTGACGGACATCTAATGTTATCGTTGGCAATTCATGTACTTAGTATTAACATCAATATAATAATACATGTTTTACATTACATTTCATTACATTTTTCAAGCTCCTGATGATTTTAAGACACACTCTAAATGGCTTAAATATTTTTGTACCAATATTTTTTTCAATTTAAGATCCCGTCTTATTGTTATTTCGAAATCCAGTGATGAGAAAGCTTTCTAGATTCCGAATGTCGCTCCGGTGGCAGAGGAATTGTGAAAGTGCCACAACGTCCTCAAACTTCATTTTCTTTTCCTTTATGAATTCCTGATCATTTGTGAGCATATTAAAAGGGATTCAGAATTAAAAATAAAATTAAACGCAACGATGCTCAGACATCTTGACATAGTTTGAACACTTTGATGCTTGTGAAAAATAAATATAATATAGTATATACCTATTAATAGTTACGTTCCTGTAAATCGGATCTTCAGGCCTCGAACGAAGGCCCGCTGTTTGCAGTCAGATTGACCAATCAACGAAGAGTTGACTGGTTGCGTGGCATAATTCAAAAAGACGTTAATACCACTTTCCCATTCATACCTTTATTAATTTGTCAATTATAGAATAATAAATAATAGTTTAAAAAAACTAAAAACACGCTTTTATAGGTAACCGAACAAATTAGAAAATAATTTTTAATTTCAAAGAGTTTATATTACAGTAGCAGATGGTCGAACAATCAATCGTAATTAAAAATCTCAAAATAAAATTATAACAAAATTTAAGTTATTCACAGAATAATGCAATTCTGAGTAAAAAGCGTGGGGAAATGTTACAATTATTATATGAGAGGAAAGTTATGAGAATGTAGTAAAATGAATTAAATTGAGTTATTCTGTTAATTACTTAAATTTTGTTATAATTTTATTTTGAGGTCATTAATCATGATTGATTGATCGACCAACTACTACTGTAATATAAGCTCTTTGTAATTAAAAAATATTTTCTAATTTTTAGTTCGGTGTTTTTTAGTTTTCCTAAACTATTATTTATTTTTCATTTTTTAGTTCGATTTAGCAATTAGTTTTTTGTGGACATGCATGATATAGCATTGTCATCTGTCCTTGATACGTGTGCGAAGTTTCACATTAATCAAACTTCTGGAAATTAGTGAAAATTATGCTCAAAGATTCCTTTACATACATCATACATACATACATAGCTCAAGCTAATAAACGCATGTTAAAAAAAATAAAAAATCTGCCTCCTGCGAGGATTGAACTCACGACTCCTGGTTTGCAAAGCCAGTGCTCTGCCACTTAACACGTTGACTACCACCTTTTTTCGGTTGGTTTTACCCAGGAGCCAATTAGTTGTATAATGGTTAATTTGTTATTTTGGTAGTATAACTTCATAAAATCAGTTATTGAGGTATTTTCGTAAAATGTTTTTTTAATTAGAACATTTTTTGTGGCTCTTCTAAGAGCCGACGTCACTGACTTACAAATCGGTTTCCTGTGTGCCAGCTGGCGCTTATAAGATTCGGAAGATAATTATTTGTTTTTAATAATAAAAATAAACTAAAAGCAAAAAAAACATTTATTATCGACCGTTAGCAAAAATAAAATATCAAAAATAATTTTTGTAACTAAAAATAGTAGAGAACATATAAAAGTATAACAAAAACTTTTCCGGTAAATAATAAAAATAAAATCTAATCAAAAATAAGAAATGAAACAACTTTTTCTTTAGATTACAAACATGAATTTGTGGTGAATGCAGACTATTTTTAGTGCAAAAAAATTATTTGTGAATAATGTCACTGCACTCCAACCAGAATCCTGAAACATCGGGGCATGTTCTACATCATTTGGATACGGATTCCCTTCTGGCTACAAGACTGGCATCTTTTTCTGGATACTTGATTTTTACCATATAAATCACGTTTTACTAATTTGTGCACTTGATTGCCTGCAGTATTGTACCTTGGTTCCGATAAGAGTCAGCGGCACCGGCAAACATCTTGCGTTGACACTTATAAGAGCCAGCGGCAGCGAACGTGTTAAGCTATAGCGGCTTGTAATTTCAATATTCGTAAAGCAGCATATGAAATCCGTGGCTTTTTATTAAGAAATCTGCTTTTTACAGAATTTTTCTCAGAAAGATAATGGGTAACTGTTATCAAATTTTTGCACTGTCATCGGTCCTTGATACGTGTGCGAGGTTTCGAATTAATCAAACTTCTGGAAATTGGTGAAAATTATACTCAAAGATTATATATACACACAGGCCACGCTAACACAAGTGTGTTAATGATTTAAATCGTAAAGGTTCCGAATTACAGAATCGCAATCCGTGGGAAGACTGAGCCAATTTACTTGACACTTGACTTCATTTTTCCAGCTAAAAACAAGTGCCCAATCATTAAACAAAGTTCCGTCTAAGGAAATTATGTCGTTTGAGACTGTTGAGCTTGAACTGGGCTTGAAGACGAGCGATGAAGATATTGAGATCAAGCCGCACAAGTTTCCCATTTTCTTATATAGGGATGAATGCAAACCGGGGAGATACTTCGCAACGCATAGTGCAGGAGTACACATGGTCACCATCAATTGTGTAGATGGATTACAAGCCTTTGCAAGCAGTGAATCTGATGGTATGATAAACATTTATCTCGATGACTGAATATTAAATATAATTATGTGATCGTACAGATCATTAGAGTTAGAGATAAGACTGGCGTAGAAAAGGTATAGCTGTCAACAATACTGTATTTGCTGAATTTTTTCGGGTGGAAAAGCTGTTTAAATATTTGGTTAAAACTTCACTTGCATCGTCATTTTATAGCGATCGTAAGACAAGAGCATTGTTGACACTGGTATTGAACTCCTGCATTGCGCGTTTTTGTCGCGCTTGTCACTGTTTTGTTTTATAATATTTTAATTTTCTAAAAATTTGTGCGATTGCTCATCTCAATTTAACTTTTTTTTTTCAACTGTGTAATATAAACATGTATAGTCTGAAAATGCATGATTTGTAACATTTTCAGATGTGGATCCTCCTCCAGACTTATTAGAGGAGCCCAGCAAAGCAGAATACCTAGTTTGTACAAAAACGGCGTCATTGGAGAAAGTAAACCCAGTAATAGGTTTTTCTATCTACTACAAACCTGCATCAATTATGGTTCTGCTAGCAGACGGAAGTTTCATAACACTTGAACTACTGTATACTCCTATTTTACCTGCGATGGGAGATGGTAGCAATTCTTCTCTGAAAGAGGTGAGGACTGAGAGTCTGCGTTATTTAGTTACACCCGGAGGATGTAACATCACATTATTTATAAACACGATATCGCAGAAGCGGATGCCGTTTGTAAATTGCTCACAGTTTCAACCAGTTTTGCGTAATTAGATTTTCGAAAACCTACACGGTTCTTTCCAATTTTCCAGTTGCTGAAAGAGCCATTTGACCAGTACATTCAGAACATTCTGAAAAAAGCTTCTTCACAACCAGTACTCAAATTACCGGCAGGTGGAGAACAAAATCTGGAGCAAAGCTATGAGGTACGTTATCACAGTAGATTGAAATGATTCAGTAAAACGAACATATTATAACATACAGGGTGTTCATTTGAAAACTTCTCACCACCGATTTATCGGAAACCACACATTAAAAGTAAAAACGCCTAGACAGGTCAACAAATTTGTCAAGGGGGACAACTTTTTAACCAAAAACTACTTCACCCCCTCCCACCATCGGCATTGCCTTAAAAATTTTAAATGGTAAGGGGTTATTGCTTGTTTGAAAGGACTTTCGAAGTACTTTATTTTGACGTTTGATTTTCTAAAATCTGTCGGTTCGTTTTTAAGAAAATTATAAAAATCTTTATCTTAATTTGTTCAGATAGTTACCCGTTAGGGTTTGCCAAATCTACTGTAATTAAAAACGGAAACTACCAACATAAACAGCAATTCGGAAGATTAGACGTGGCAACAACCAAATAACAACCCGAATATTCTGCATTCTTTTCATCAACACAGATGTCCTAGGCGAACTGTATTTATTGTTATTCCTATTTAGTTACTTGTTACTAAGAGAAAGAAAAAATTTAATTTACTGTCAGTTACCTTTGTGACAGTCTTGGGATAGTAAAAATTAATTTATTGATTCAGATTTTACTTCCAAAGTGGTTTACACAATATCCGGAAGAATGGAAATGATTCCCATTTATGGTGCCCAAAATCAATATACTCGGCAAACTGCTTTCAAGTTTAACGGTAGACCTCCGGACAAGATAACTTCGCATAGGTATGTTTTGGACCTTGATACTAAATTTGCTCAAACTGTATCTGTTGTAAATAAAAAACGTGATCATCGGAGAGTTTTGGATTAAACCGCAAAATTGTGGCTGCGACTGTACTCATAGTTACTAAACTCCATAAATTTTATCCATTCAAAATGAAAATATTGCAAGAGTTAACCGAAGATGATTTCGATAGGCGGGTTGAGTTATGTGAACAAATGACTGCAGCGATTAATGATTATACCATTCATGTAAAGAATATCTGCTTCAGTGATGAATGCACATTTTATGTAAATGGATTTGTTAATAAGCATAACTGCAGGAAACAAAGTGATTGGGCCATTGTTTATTAATGGAAATTGGAATGGAGACATGTATTTGGATATGTTGGAAAATACCACCAATCCGCTGATCACTGAAACCGTTGAAAACCGAATCGAGGAGGATGGAAACCCTGTACTTGATGTGGCTGAAATATATTTCCAGCAAGATGGAGCTCCTCCTCATTATGTTCTTCCGGTTCGACAATGGCTAGACGACGAGTTTCCAGATACGTGGATAGGGGGAAAAGGGCCTAAGGAATGGCTTGCTAGATCGCCTGATTTGATGCCATTAGTCTTTTTTCTATGGGGCGATTTGAAATATATTGTGTTTACTCCCCAACCTGAAAGTTTGGATGAACTTCGTCAATGCATCATCGAATGCTGCCATGATATCCCCCAACATGTTTTTGAAAATGTCCGTGAGGAATTTGTACGTCACCTATATCATTGTTTGGCTAATAACGGACAAAATTTTGAACACTTATTGAAATAAGAAGTGATAGTTTCGTGTGTTATTGTTTTCTATCTAATAAAATTAAAATAAATAAAGATTTTTCTAATTTTCTTGAAAACGAATCGTCCGATTTAAAAAAAACAAACGTCAGAATGAAAGACTGCGAAAGACCCTTCAAACAAGCTATTACTCGCTGCCCCTTGTCATTTAAATTTTTTAGGGGGCAGAGGACGAAAGGGGGTGACGTTGTTTTAGGATAAAAAGTTGTCCCCCTGGACTAATCTTTTGACGTGTCTTGGTGTTTTTTCTTTTAATCAGTGGTTTTCGATAAATCCGTGGTTTCAAATGAACACCCTGTAATAACATTTGAAACTTATCCTGTGGAAAATGAAAAAAAAAACAAACGAAGTGTCACCTAGAACACAAGTGAATAAATTATATTGTCCAAAAAGTTTCAATTGTGATTAATAAGGTCACCGAAATATATTCAATAAAGAAGAATTTTAAACACATGTAGTTTGATTGGCCGTACAAACATAGGGGATGTTCACGTGGTCGCTAAGCTACATTTTCTTATGAAATTGGCTAGAGCGCCCACTCCAGCGTTGGAGTTCCTTGTCAACCTACCATCATCACATATTTATTCAGGGTAATGCTCTTTCCCTGACTCACAGGGTTAAAGGCAGATCATGTATTGGTAATGTCCACGGACACAACTGTCAAAGTGTACAAATTCGATAAAAACTATCAAACAATATTACCAGAAAGGAAGGCGTGGGAGAAAGGATAAACATGCTAAAAGCTACTGGTATACATAGGCTCGAAAACTGAAGGTGGAGCTGGAGCTGCGATATATGGGGCAAGGCCAAAATCTGAGATCTCTATAAGTCTTGATGATATTGCAACAGTATTTCAGCTGAAAGTAACGGCCATACAAGTCTGCGCAAAAGAGCTAATAAGGAATGAGACTGCAAAACATTCGATCGTCATCTGCTCAGACAGCCCGACAGCCATAAAGGCATTAAGTTCATCGCAAATATCATCTAAACTTATATAGGATTGCTTGAACACCCTCAAAGAACTGGGAAACAAACAAGGTGGCCTTGCTCTGGGTACCAGGACATGACGGGCATAAAGAAAATGAAAAGGCGGATGAGCGGGCCCAACAGGGCGCGGCCAATCGCCTTATAGGTCCAGAGCCTTTCTGTGACGTGACGGGGACACGAACTGAACAGTCCATAAGAAATTGAACCGAAAAATCGAAGGTCTGCATTTTCAGAGGACCTACTCGGATTCAAATGGAAGGCCATAAGAGCCATAGTTGGTCTCCTGACACTGTCGTCTAAACTGACATATGAGACTCTTGGGTCTGGCAGAAGAAGCCACATGCCGTTTTTGCAGAGATTATAAGGAAACCCCAGTGCATCTCCTGTGTCACTGTGAAGACCTGACAGGGCTACGATTTCAGATCGTATACATACAATAGATCACTCGGGTCGCAGTGACGTTATGGCTGGCATGCCAACCCCTTCTGTAATCTGTAAAACTGGCTAACTACTGAATAACAGTCACAATGAAAAAAATATTTCACTATATAGTAGCGTCTGAAATCGACAAGATGTTGGTATCATCCAATCACCACAAGACAGTTCTAAACATGACCGTATCCAATTATTCTGTGTCACACGCATACTGCATATGTATGTATTCAATATCCTGCATTTGGATAAGATTTACGGCTTATTAAAGAAATACACTTATATACAGATATCCTTGAGTTTATCTTTTGTTTTTATATGCTACAGATTCTTAAAAGAACAGCAAAGGTGTTTAGAGAGGAATACTTGAAACAACATACGAAGGCCAGAGAAGAATTAGAGAAGAGGGTAGAAACTTTAACCCTCATAAAGAAAAATCAACAAGCCGAACTTAAGAAAATCGAAAAGGAAAAAGAGCAGTTGCATAAGAATGCGAGTCTTTTAACGGAGAAGTATGAAGACATTAAGATCAAACAGAATGAGATTCATAGGAGGTAAATTATACATTTTTAATTTTTAATTAAAGTCGCTGTTTTTTGACTGCCGAACAATATTCGAGTCCTATAATTTTTTTTTTGTAACCGTAACAAAGTTCTGTTTTAGTGTAATATTTAATGCTCGTTTCAGATGTGAACGTCTCCTAATGCTTATCTCTAAGAAGAGAAATAAACCAACAGGTGCTGAACAAGCGTTCATAAAAGATTATCAAGAGATTAGTGAAAAAATTTCAAAGTATTTTGACCGAATAGGCAAGTTCAAGCAAAGAATGAGGTATCAAGAAGTACAGGTAAGACGGAACTGATAGCTGAACAGCGCTTATCAAAGCAAAATCAGCTTGCGACCCTAAAAGGGACTCCTTATCCAACTTCTACGGGTCGTAACGTCTGTTGTAGCTGCCACAAATATTAAATAAAACTATGATTATGTTACTTTTTTCCAGATGCAAAACTGGAAATCGCCGGAAGTAAAGAAAGTCTCGTCCATAAACGTAACGTAAGTATTTTGATACCTGGGCGTATTTGTAAGTATCTTTGTTTTCACTCTATTATTCTATACCTTTTGCTAGAAAACATCTCATTTAACTTCAGTTTTTCAATCTCAGGTTAATTTTCAATACAAGCTATCATCCATTAATTTGATCTTGAAGTTCTAGTAAACGAACCCATAATATTTGATGGGACAATTCAACTTCTACAGTCTAAAAATGTCGTGTCCTGTCCATCTGGTGTCTTTTACTTGTAATCGGTGGTAACTCGTTTTACCGTCACTTAGAATTTGAGATTGCGGTTTAACTACATCCCATACATATTGCTTCTGCTAAACCTGACCTCCATTTTTGAATTATAACTTCCAGTTAATACTAAAACCTCTACCAAGGTTAGTATCTGCTGATCGTTATTCGCTATTGAAAAATCGGACTAAGAAAGCACTCATAGATTGCACTTATTCCACTGCAATGTTTGTAGAGCAGACGATATTTTAAGCCATAAATACTGTCGGTTTAACAAGTATCCATTAATTTAGAATAACAGCTGATTATCTAGTAATATTTCAAAATTCTTCATATCGACGGTCAATGCCAGGTAGACAGAACCGTATTTTGGTGTGTTTTGTAACTACTCTTTTATTTAGAAAAGTTAATTCGCATACGAAAAAACACTACAAGCAAAATGGCTGCTAAAGATCATGACTACATTTCAAGTATGAATAAAATAAGATTAAGTCTTTGACTGTGTTAATCTACTTTTTAGAACTTGAAACACCATATGATTTTAAAGAACAGTGAATTAACCATATTTGAATTACGTTACACTTATGACGGAACATTAACCAGAAACACGTGTCTATTATTTTCACATATAAAATTACAGCAACTGGAAAGGGCAAGACTGTCTGTTTCATTGATTTACCTTGTAATCAATAAATCCCAGATTTACTATAATAAATAATCAATGAACATTTTATTATGTGTACTTCGTGTATTTCATTGTCAAAATTTCCAAACACTAAAAGTATCTACATATGTGAACAACAGCTCTGAATACGGTTTTACCTGATTTACACTCGATTCACTACAGACTTTACAAATATATCACTTGCTGATAAGCTTTTCACCTTAGTAGACGCCAAAACGTAATGAATACCTACTCGTGAAATATGGTTTATAGATTTGCTAATTCCATCTTTTTTTCCCCAGGACGAAAACTATCGCTGACATGATGCAGGAGGTGAAGGATATCATGGAGCGTTTCAATTTGAGTCCAGTTTGAGTGCCTATATTTTTTATTTTTGTATTATTTTTTAACTATTGTACCTTGTTTGATACTAGCTGTATAATAAAAACCATTTTATATCATAATTATATAAGAATTAATAACCTCGTAATAGTACTTAATCTACGTTTATAGGAAAATTAGATAAAATTATTACGACACGTCCAATATATTTGTTTGTTTTGCAAAACAAATCCACACAACATTTGAAAAGGTGATGCCTTCAAAACAAAGTTGAATTTCGAAATTTGGCTTTAGTACTACCCCAGCTATAAGCTACCAGTTCTAATCGCTAGGATAAATTACCATGTGAAATTCCAAAACATACAAAAACAAGGAAAATGATTTTGATCTCACATTTGACGCTTATCTTGTGGTTTTCATACTATCAGTAGATAACATTATTTTCTAGCCAAATAAAACCAGATACGTATAGGTTACTTTTTACTCACGGTTCAGCCACAACGGTGGTGTTTTTCAAAGTACAATGACAATACAGTTTATATTTATCTGTCTTCCGAGTGAAAGTTACTTTTTTCTTCGCCACTATACAGGGTGTTGCGTCAAGTAAACAGACTGAAAAGACCTATACCCTGCAGAAATGGTGCGAGGGCTTTGCACGATCTCAGCGCGGTACAGGACCGTTCTAGCTGTAAATACATAAATACAATATAAATGTCAAAATGGGCGTTATGACGCCCATATCGCAAAATTCAATGTAGGGGGGATATTGGCGGTCTCGGAATTGAGAGTTCCTATTAACGGGCTACAGCTTAAAGCCCTCCGATATCGTGAAAACCACACACAGAACTACTGTCACAAGATAGCGGTTAACTGTTATGCAATATTCGACTACTAATTCCGCGAGTGCATAGTTTTTGAATCCCAAATGAGATAAATAGTGCTTCGACATATAAAAGAAACTATGCATGTATTTTGTCCTGTGAGGATTTGGTGTAAGACCCGACAGTTTAGCGTTTTCGGCGCGATGACCGAGGGAGGACAGATAACCTCATGCTCGCTTGTAGATTTAGAAATGCCGGATGGATTGTGGGAACAAGAATGCCTACCCTAGGCATGTTACGGGGCAGTTCAATCTATTGTCGCAACACACAACATCGACGATAAAATTTGTTTTTCGAACATCTGCGGGATTAGCAGCAACATTGATGCTGTTCATCACTACCTGCAACCCAATCGTCCCGCCGTGCTTTTCTTGGCGGAGACAAAAATCTCAGAGTCTGAACCGATTAACCATCTTAACTTCCCAAACTACGAGGTGCACTCCAATCTGAGAAAGAACGGAGGAGTTGTGGCTTTTGTCCGCAGCAGTCTTCCCTGCTCCAGAGATGTTTCTTTGGAATTAGACCGGAAGGACATTCTGTGGCTTCGCCTCAACTCCAAAACATCACCCAAATTTATTTGCTGCCTTTATCGCTCTCCCTCGGATCATAACTGGTATGACCTACTCGAATACCTCGCCGCCCAGATCGACTTCCTGAACATCAATCACCCCGCTTCAGAGGTAGTTCTTCTCGGTGATTCCAATGCCCGTAATGAGCTTTGGTTGGGCTCAAACAAGACCGATGCAGCAGGTCGTGCAGTCGAAGCGTTCGCTCTTACTCAATGGCTGACTCAGCTGGTGCCGAGCCCTACTTTTTTCCATCGCGTCTCGTCACACGCCAGTAGCCTGCTGGATCTCTTTCTGACCACGCATCCTGTCCCTTACAGCACTGCTGTCCTGTCCCCCATGGGTAACTCCGACCACGGTGTTGTGGAGGTTAGGTTTCGGTCAGAACCCGCTGTGGCAGCAGAAACTCGTACAGGCCGCAAAACTTGGCATTACGGACATGCCGACTGGGAGGGGCTCAGAGACGTCTTCTCTAGATTTCCTTGGAAAGATGTCTGTTTCACAGACGCGGATGCGTCGGCTGTCTGTTCTTCGATAACCGAAATTATCCACGTCGGAATGGAGGAATAAATCCCGCACACAGGGTCCAACGGCTGGTTTAACAAATCGTGTGACGCTGCTCGCCAGCAGAAGATCAAGGCACACAGAACCTTCTTACAAAACTCCACTGTAGAGAACAGACAAGCCGACGTTGAGTCCAGAAACAAATATAAAGAAGCAGTGCGCAATGCCAAAAACCAGCACGATATAAAAGTTTGGCACAGGGTAATGTCGCAGCGCAATGGCAGTCGGTCTTTCTGTACGCTGGCCAAGCAGATTGAAACGAACTTCTACACAGTAGCCTTCCACCACTTACGTGTCAGGATGGAACTATTGTATTCAACTCAAAGACCAAGGCGGAAGTGCTAGCCAAGATCTTTGCTACCAACTCCACCATGGACGTCCCCACCAACTCCCAAGTGCCGTCAGTTCAAAGGGTTCCCTACACTATGCGGGAGATAACATTCAGGCATAAGACCGTAAGACGAGTGCTCTTGTCGCTCGACATTAACAAAGCTTCTGGTCCGGACTTGATTCTTGCCATTGTACTGAAGAGGTGTGCAGCGGAGCTTGCTCCAGTTCTTTCGCGTCTCTTCCAGATATCTTATGAATCCGGTACCTTCCCAGAAAACTGGAAATTTGCTCATGTCCAACCCATCCCAAAAAAGGGATCTAAGACCGACCCTTACAACTACAGGCCTATAGCTCTGCTTTCTGTTTTAAGTAAGGTGATGGAGAGGTGCATAAATCGCGAGGGTGTCGAGATTTTGGAACAATCTACAAGAGGAAGCGTTTCCTAGTTCTATTAACCTTGGGCAGTTCAAAAATCGTATTAACAAAATTTCTTTAGGATCATCATAGCAGCCGCGGTGTTCCGGCATTTAGGCTTCTACCTGCGCGGCTGCTTCGATATAAAAAAACACTGTATAACAATGAAGAAAATAAAAAAGAATATGTCACCTAGAAGACAGATAAACAAAAATGTACTGTCGGTGTACTTGAAAAATGTCGTACAATAAAGATAAATTAGAACATATTAGTATCTTGTTTGATTCGGCCAGACAATGGAGTCCTATGAACATGAAAGCCATAGGTTAAGTTTCAGGAATTACATTAAAAATTATTTTCCTTAAAAATGAAACATCATGTTTAGAGGAATCTTTTTTTTGCAATATTTGGAATTTTCTGTTATGAGAAAATGTAATCATATGAGACTTAGACATTTCGCAAAAAAATATTCTGATTACTCAACAATTGAACTTAGGAATCAGTATGAAGCTTTCTGAATGAAGCTGATTAACTCTGGAACAGAGAAATTGATGAGTCAAAATGTGAAATGATGTAGTCGTCAAATCAAACAGAGATTCTAAAACGAACCGCTCAATGGTCAGCCAGTGGTCCCCAGAAGTACTTGCTTATCCTATCCTCATCCTCTGTCAAGAAAAAGTCTCTTCCATGTTTTACAAATTCTTTCTGTGAAATTTTTCCATCTCCATTGGAATCTATGGCTCTGAATGCTAAGATGGCGTCTTGCTCTTTCAAACCAAGTACCTCGAAAAATAGTTTGAACTCCTCTACGCTTATTGCGCCGGATCCATCTTTATCGATAGCCTGGAAAAAATAAGGATTTTATATCAACTATTCATGTGGTGGGATGAAACAAAGCTATATTACTAATCTGATAATTGTACCATAATGCAGAACTGATTAAAGTGTGTTTAATGAGAGATAATATTTCAGTAATAGAAATTCAGCGGCCGTTTATAAAATATACGCCGACTTCCATCATTAGCTCCACAATAGTAAAAAGAGATTCTTGAATTGTCTTAAGGGTACTATGCCCATAACACGAAGCAGGGTTGTAACAATAAAATAATATGCAGGACTTCCTGAAGATTGCTTATGTTCAGAAAGTATTTACCTTGAATAGATACGGTAAGAATGAATGCGCTTTCCTGACCAATATTTTATCATTCAAGACGTGATGCATCGTATCCAGATATTTCTCTACTGTCACCAAATTGTATGGATTAATCTCTCCCCATTGTTTTTCCCATAAATCCTAAAAACAACAATATCATTAGTTCTCACATATCTCCTCAACCAAGCATATTTTAATAACATGCAATATATCTGTACTATGAACCCCAAGGTGTTGCTTTAAAGGTACTATTGCACCCTAAGAAAAGGCAAAGCTACCTTGACTAAGTCCTGGAACTTTTGAATGTCCTCCTGCTGTAGATGGCCTAAATTGATGAATCTCTCTGCAAGTATTTTAAAGTCATCAAATGATATGACGCCATCTTTGTTCAAATCCAGAATTCCGTGGAATGTCCTTATTTTTCTTCGCCAGAAGTCTGATTCGCCCTGAAAAGTATCGAATTCAAATAGTATATCAAATTAAAGACCAACCTCGGACCTTAGGCTAGTTTATTGTTCGGCAGAAACAGTTATGGATATATGACTGAGAAGGAAAAAATGGGACGGTATTATTCAACAGTAGCAATTGACGATTTCATGCAGATTATCCTGCTTTGTTGTTTAGTAAGGGTGGCGCATCAAGCGTACAGTTCAATAGTTATACGCCTTGATATATTTTTGAATAGTCTTAACTTGGCTTGCAGCGTGGACTTTAAGGTTCTTGAGATAACTCATGTCTCCTAAAAACTCGAAACTGGGTTTAGAGTCAAATCAGGTATCGCTTTCGTTATATAATTCTTCGATTCGTAGTAAAACTATATACATATATATATATATACTTCGACAAAATTTAAGCAAAGAGGACTCTTTATACTTTTTTAATTCTCTCTAGCTTTCAATGGACTTTGCCATCATCATCAGGAGAGTAGTATGTGAGGATGTTGCTAATTGTTGTTTACGTATAGGATGAGGGAAACGTCCAGTAACATGGTGAGAGCTGGATAGATGGTACAATGGTCAAAATTATATAAAATATGACAAGAACAAGTTAAAAACAGATTAAAAATTATTTAAAAATCTGGCTTATGCACAACCATAATTTTATACGGATGGTAATGGAGGTCCAAATGCAAGATTCTGCGAACTGAACCATCTGACATTCTAAGAGCGCGAGCGTGACGTACCGTTGAACGGTGACGGCTAGTATCCACCGCTTGTTGCACGATTTCAATGTTTTCCGGAGTTCGCACTGTTCGATGTCTTCCCCTTGCAGTACCAGGTCTCAACGATCCGGTTGTTTG